GTAACATTAAGCTGAGATTCTTTTTCTTGCCACTTATTTGGTTTTTCTGCTAATAATGAAATTATAATGAGATCCCTGATGGGATTTTAAAAAAAAAGGAAAAACACCTCACATGAATTATCCGTTTCCCCCTCACTCTCCTGCCTTTCTATAAAATCTATTCTGCATAATAGGTCTTTGTCTCTGGATTTGAGACAGAACTGAAGGAGGCCAGAAGTTGGAGGTGCCCCCAGTGTTCTTTCTAGGGACCAGGATGCAAGGGTCTGTTGGGTAGAGAATGCTCTCTTTTCTTCCACCTCCCAGACCTGCTCCTCCCTGGACCCAGTCACCCCTATTCTAAACGCCTCCAACTTTGAGGAAAGGATGAAGGCAAGTATTAGATGTTTTTGCAGGCTGGATGTTCAGTTAATCTGAAGTGCACATAGTCCTTACCCCGCCCCTTTGAACCCTGAGAATTCCTGACTTGGTCTTGTGTGGAGGGATGGAATATCTGTCTTGATTGGGAGAAGCAGGGTGTTTTGAAACCCTGGGAAAACCTTGGAGAGTATTGAACATTTCTGGTAGCAGGTTTCTCTCCCGTCACCTCCAGTTCCTGTCTTCTTGTTCTTCATCAGCAGGGCTTTGGCAAAAGCCATTGATTAAAGAGGGCTCATTGCCCTAGCTGAGTGCTCTTCGTCCAGGCCTGGATTTCTCCATGTGGGTGAATAGATGGAACCCTTGGTCGAATGAATCGATGTACAGACTGTTCAAGACAGACACACGCTTGTCTAATTTCCAAATTTCTGTCTGTAGGAAAGGCAATGTTGTGGTCTATTCCAATGAACAGTATAAGCCTTGGCAACTCTCTCCATAATTCAGCCTAAATCTTTTCTGCCTCGGTATTTTGGCTTAAGCTGGAGACAGCCAGCTGTTGTATCTTAGTACTCTAGAAGAATGAGGTATCAAAATGGGTGGGATGAGTATGTCTTGTCTCTCGCTGTGGTTTGGTCAAAGGCTATTTCCTGAATCTCCCATGTTTAGGTTTTTTTCTGATCAGCACTAATGGCCAGTTTCAGGACCTCACTCCCACTCCTGTCTTAGGGTCCCCCTCTCTTTCTTCCTTCTCACCATAAAACAGGTATAATAAAGCTGGGGAATCTTTACAGTTGGTGATTTTATATCATAGATCAAAGATCAAAGCAGAGGAATACACAGCAACCGTAAAATTAACTGCTTTTTCAATTTTACAATGCTTTCAGTGATAGAGAATCTTATAAATTTAATATTAATTAAACACTTAGCTTTTAACCTCCTCCTGCATCTACTTTTGGCTGGTCGCTGGGAAAAATTAATTGGGCATCTTAAATCTTGTGTTACTATACGCCTTGACAGGAGGGGTTTCAAAAGCACTTATAACTTCAGCAAAATGCACTTGGAGCATTTGTCCTTCTCCTCACCTAATTGAAAATGCTCCCCCCAACCCTTTTTTTTTCCTAACGTAAAATGAACCATTTGCTAATTTTCTTTTTTAAGCAAGTATAACTTACAGTCCCTTTCCATAGCCTAAGCTTTAATTCAGCCCCTTGTCAGGTTTAACACCTCACAAAGTGGAAGCCATTGGACTTCCGTGATTATAAATGTGCTATTGATTTTGGAATGCATTGGGACAGATGTGTGGGTGGCATTTGCTCAGCCTGATCATTGTGTCCCCTGCAGCTTCTGTGTGTTCAGTTCCGCGAGAGTTGCCTCCTGCCTCAGCGAGCCTGGTAGGAGGCAGGGCTCACCTTGGCCATGGTGAGCCCATGTGGTGGCTCGGAGGCTGTGGTACCCGAGCATAGAGCCTCAGCAGCATGACAGGAGAGTCAGAATAGCAGAGACAGGAAGGAATATTCCCCTTGAAGGCATCCCAAGAGATAGGAAGCCAATGTGATGGACGAGGTGAAAACAAGGGAAGCCTAGGTGGATCATGTTTTCTGAGCTCCCAAAGGGACTGAACTTGGCCCTTGCTTGGGGGATGGATAGCACTCTCTCTTTAATAGCCAGGCAGGCGTCCGTGTCTGTGCTTGAGAAGTGGCTCCGTAGATATAATAATAATTGGTAACTCCATTGCTTCCCTGTAGTACTTTGTTCTCCAGTGAGTGTGGAGAACTTTCATCCATGTCACCTCATTTTTTCCTAACATATCACTGTGAAATCCTTAGAGGTGGGCAAGATCCGGCCTCTGAGTTTCACCAGGCTGGTCTCCTGCTGGGGCCATGCACTTGAACCTCATAGCTGGGAGTAATAGAACCCGGGCCCCAAGAAGGCCTCTTTCTGTTCCTGTTTTAGGTTCGGGTGACTGAGAAGTAGTCCATCGATGGCTTTTGGGAATGCCTGTTCTTAGCAAAGTGCGCTGTGGAATTCCCCTGGTTCATGTGCACCTCTTTGAGAAAACTCAAAGAAAACTAAATTTGGTGGAAAAAATTTAAAGAGTCATCATTCACTTTACAAAAATGTTTTGAGACATCTACTGTAAAGTGGCTTGCTTCAGGTTTGCTTTAAATCGCCAAGTCTTCTACTCTTCTACCTTCTAATGAGATTATGAATCAGCTTATAACCAATGCTCCTGGAGCATATTTTTTTTGGATAAGGTCCGGGATGTAGACTCGCAGCACAGCCGTCTCTAGTCTTCTGCGCTGAGCTGCAGTGTTCCTCGCTCTCCAGGTCCCCGACAGTCACCTTGACAATCCCTGATGGCAGTAGACAACGTTTAATCCAACTGTGAAATAATAAATTAGTTCTGGAGTCCCCAGTAGAACTGGGATCCCTAGCTTTACGCACCTGGCTGGTCTGCACTCCCTGTGAAGCCATCGCTGTTTCTTCTCACTGCAGCTGAGTTTTCTGAACCTTTTAAGAACTGAATTGATGGGATGTGGAATTTGATAGCCGATAAATTAAGGATATTGGGAAATTTAACGACTCTATTAGAAGACGGCATTTCCGGAATCAGTCGCAACATTTGCTTGTGTGTCTGTGTGTGTATCTGCAGAAATCCTTTATATATGTATCGCTCTGTTTTTCTATCTATCTAGATCTATATGATATGTGGGGTGCTATAAAATTTTTAGTGCCTTAGTTTGGGTTGACCGCCTTATTACTCACGAGTGAGCTATACGGGTCTTCCTTAACAAGTGGCAGTAAAGGCTTTACAGCACCCCTTACACCGTCACATATTTTTGTTTAGGCCACATATTGTCTTTTTCTTTTTAAGTCTCCCTTTGCTCATGTCCCTCTCAAGTACCTTTGTTGCCATGGCAACCGTTCCATCATTGCTTAGGGTGGAGCGGACTGATATCCGTCCTGCAAGTTTCTTTAAGTCAGTGCTTGCTCGGCTGACCTCCAACCCCCAGCCGGGGCCAGGGCTGGGGCCCTTCACCTGGTCACCTCGGGCCCTTCGCCTGGTCACCTCGGGCCCCTTTTTCCTTTTCCTGAATCTCTGTTTATTCGACTGCTGTGGCCAGCCCTACGTTAATCATTCTCCATGTCTCTGCGGAACTGTCCTCTACGGAATGTGAAGAGGCTGACAGTCATGATCTAAAAATCAAAAAAAGAGAAAGTTAACCTTGAGCATTTTGAGTTAAATATGGGGCTGGTTGGCTACATAGGAAATGTACGTGGGAAATGTGGCCAGGCCGAGGGGGAAGAAAGCCGTCTGCCTATCAGAGCCCGCACTGTTTCTGCAGGTTGCCATGTGCAGTTTTAGGTCCTTTCTCTCTGTCTCTGAGGTTTTCCCCCTTCCAGAAGACCTTCCCTTTCCTTGCCTTATGGACTGTTAGTGTTGGAAAGGAGCCACAGAATTGAGTCCAACCCACTCACTACATTTTCGAGGAAACTGAGGTGCGAAAGGTGCTGAGGGCGCTCAGCCTTCAGTGGTGCAGATGCAATGAAAACCTGCGTCTCCCAGTCCCCGGCTGGACTTCAGCTTTGCCCCGATTCCTTAAATTATTCAAAACATTTTACTGTCAGGCCCGTTTCCCATCAAGCCACCTCAGCAATTCTTTTAAACGTGGGTGTAGCTGTTGTAGAGAGATCGTTTGGCAAAAGTAGACAGGTGGTGAGGCTGTTCCCTCCAAATTTCTCAATTCTTTTTCCAGCGAGAAGGTTGTCTTGCCAACTCCTTGATTAAAGGTAGTGGTTCCTGTAATCTGTTATCTCACCCACATTTGGGATGCTTGTATGTGTGACTACATTTATTTATATATTTTATATGGGCAATATTTTGACTGTTTCTTTTTTGAAAGACAGAGTGAATGAGTATGCCAAAAATCACAGATGATACGAAAAATGCTATCAGTTAAAAAAAAAACACAACAACACTTTTTCAGGAAGGTGACTCAAACAACCTGAAAACGATACAAATTGGTCCTAATGTCATTTTATGAAGTCATTAGAAGAGGTGGAGCTTGTGATCAGTGTGGAGAGACTTCTGGAATACTACATGGCTGACTGTTAGTGGTTCTTATTAGGGAAAAGAATTCAGATCTGAGAGTCTTTTGGCATAGAAAGGAAGATTTGTTTAATCCCTTCTTGGGTGACATGAAAAAGAATCCTGAATGTATTTTTCTTTTCTGAGTCTCTTAAGTCTGAGTGAGGTATTTTACACGCCCGGGTAATGTGGTATTTTAGGAGAAAAGTCATGTTCACCTGGGCTTTCTGACCTGTAGGCATGGTGCTCATATACTTAAATATGCAGTTTTCATAAATAGGCTGCCTGTGGCAACTAGTGATTTTCCGTTGGTGCATCTATCAATCAGGACACATTCTAATATTCCATTTGGTATCATTTTTCTGTTTCCCAAATACTAGGGAAAAGGAAAAGCTAATATTCACTAGGATCCTATCAAGCAGATGAAATGAGATAATCTACAGAAAGTGCATTGAATGACCCTGAGTTAGTATGTCCATTTAACAGATGAGGAAACTGAGCCCTAGAGAGATTAAATCAGTTGCCCAATCTCCTGTGACTAGTAAGTGACAAAACTCAGGTTTCTCTGCTTTCAAAGCCTACATTCTTTTCTCTCAATCACATTGCCCCCACTAGATCCTTGGCAGTTACTGTCTTGTGCAAATTTTTAGATCTTTGCTTTTATCATGTGCTGAATTCCTTCCTCCCCAACTCATAGTGGAACAAGAATGGCAAGTATTTGGCATCATCACACAAAAAGCCCGAGAGTCAGCAAGTCTCTCCTTCCTGTGAAGCCACCTTGTCGGCTCCAACAGGTTTCCAAATAGTGTGATGCCACTGACAGTGGATTATGAAAGCAGCACATGAGGTTCATGAGGGAGATGCAGGGACCTGGCAGAAATTGGGGGGTGGGGAGGTAAGAAAGGAAGAAGCAATATATTAACTTTACTAACACATAGAGTTGCTTATTCTTTTTCTTCCAGGTTAATATACATAACTCTAAACCACACTTTTTTTTTAAAAGACACTTTTTAAAAGCCTCCATCTGGCTTAGGTCGTAGATGAAAGTCCCAGTTACAATGAAACAAATAATTTCATAAACACAGTGGGGGAGATTTTTTTTTTTCTCTACAGTGTTCAGGGTACTTTCTGAACAAATTTTAATGTAAATGCCTTTGGATGTAAACAACATAGAAAAGCTAGAAACCATAGTTTTCAGATTCATGTAAGAAAATCATGGGCTCTGGAGGCGGAGGACAAAAAATTGAGAGAGGAAAGGAAAAGCTATCACTTGATGTTGACCCTTTTACTGAGATAAGGTGCAAAACAGAAATATTCCTCATAGAGAGTGACAAGTCCACTTACTTAATTCATTACTTATTTTACTTATTGGAGAAGCTGCTTATTAGCCTCTGGGCATATTGACAAGTGTGATAGAGAAAAGGCAGTCCCTGCCATCACAGTTTACAATCCACAATAGATAATATACAAACAGGACGCGGTGTTTTTGCAGACAGACACTTGCATCAGATACCCTTTAAACGCACAAGAGGAAAGCAGTGAACGTGCACGTGAAGTCACTAGGGTAAATCAACTTCTGTAGTGAAAGAAGGCAAATAGTACGCGTCAAGGAACTGGAAACGAGTCTGAGCCACGTTTGACCGTTCTCCACAGTTAACGACATTATTCTGGGAGCCAGTGTGACTGCAGCGGAGTCAGGGACTGGGCGCGCCGTGTCGAGACTCGCTGCTTCCCTACGTTGAGGCTGGGCAACACGCAGCAACAGCCCTCACCTTCATGGGCCGTCAGTCGGGGAGAGGCAAACGGGAGACTTGGCGTCAGCCACAAATCACGGCCCGTTGTTGGATTCCGTCTGACCCTTAGCATCGTTTTATCTGAGTCCTCTCGGATTTAATGTGATTCCCTTCACGCCACCCTTCCCTCTGGACAAATACTGATATTGTTATCATGGTCATCATGATGACTTGGGGCCGACCTAATACCCTTCTGCCTCCAAACCACAGGACCTTGCCATGGCCCGGGCGTTCAGAGCCATCGCAGCGCCTCGTTGACCCGGCTGTACTGGAGCTGAAGCTCCACAGAAGGGAAGCCTCCTTTAGTGCCCCGCCTGCCCTTGCCCCCCCCCACCCTTTGTCTTCATTGGGGCTTTTTTAACCCCCTGTGGTGCTGCCCCTTCTCCCAAGGAATTACAATCCCCAATATCCTGGTTTCAGAGGGCGGTAGGGAAGAAGTTGGGCTCCAGTTCGGAGAGGTGAGACCTGTGCACCTGTGCTCAGGTTCACAGCAGGCTTTCCTCCTGCTGGACCCGGGAGTGGGAGAAAAGCCAAAATCTCCAACCTCCAGTGTACAGGTCTCCGTAATCCACGGGCAATTTCAGGAATTATAGACGTCCTCTCGGTGTAGGATGGGCAGAATGCCCGCCAGGGGTTCGATGCTGCTCAAGCCCTGTGTTTGGGTTTTTTCTCTACCCATTGCTTTATATCAACCCCTCAGATACACTTATAACGAGGCTTTTCTAATGATGAGGAGACGGGGAAGAATCAGTGGTGTGGACACATTAGCCACACAGGATGTGTGTGGTCTAGAGAACGTGTAACCGTGAATTTACGGTTGCTCTCCACCAGCCTGATGGTGGTGGGAAGGTGAAAATGGGGGAAGTGGGGAGGGCATGGCTCAGTGGTAGAGTGTGTGCCTAGCATGCACAAGGTCCTGGGTTCAATCCCTTGTACTTCCACTAAAAATAAAGAAATAAAAACCTAATGCCCTCTCTCCCCTCAAAGAAACAAACAAACAAAAATGGAGGCGGAAAATGATGTTATTAAGGATGGCTCTGGGAATGACCTAAAAGGTGGAAAATTGATTTTATGGTGCTTGGACCCTAAATCTGCTCATACAGGGTGAAGAACTAGAAGAAACTTTAGAAATCCCCAGCCGCTTTGTTTTACAGAGAAGAACACCCAGAGTGGGTATTAACTCATACAGTTAGTTACAACTGGGACTCAGAACCAGTTTTTCCTGGTATCAGTTCCACAGTACCACACCCTCAGTGTAGAATGTCCACAAATGAATGGCGTTGACTTTTTCTTGCTTTTCAGAGCCACCTCTCTCTCTCCCTTTATATTATTCATGCTCACATCATTTCCTATTACTAGTGTTTTCATTGCTAGGACCATTTGGCTATCATTCAAGGATCCCCCGCTTGGGTTGTTTCTTGAGTCTGGTAGAATTTGAATGGAATTGATGGAGTTCGTGATCACCTAGGAGGTGAGAGCAGGGCTCTGGCTCTGACTGCCAGGGTTCGAATCCCAGCTCTCCCATTTACATGCTGGGTGACATGGGCGTGTTATTGGACCCCTTTGCCTCAGCATCCTAATCCGTTTAATAGGAAGAATGACAGAAGTATCTGCTTCGTAAGTCTCTCTGCCACAGGTAATATAGCCAAAGCCAATGAAACAGTGCCTGGCGCATGTTAAGCCTCATAGTATGTTTTTGGTTTTGTTATTTATTTCCTTCATCCTCCAGCGGTGACCTCGAGCTACCTAAAAGGTTGTATAAGTTAACCTCCCACTTAAAGGGGGAAGGGGCCCGTCTGTAACAGTCCTGGATGACGGAACCTAGCTCTGTGTGGCTCCTCTCCTTGAAAGCCAGCTCACCACCCCCTGTAATCCTCATCTTCATGCGTCTGCGTGGCTCACCGAGTGTTCCTCCTGGTTTCTTAGAGCTTATGATTATGGGCTGCTGGGAGATTCAGCCAGTGGCTCCTTCAGGGATGTGGTGGCCATGTGTTTTCTGAGGGCAGAGGGCAGTGTCTGGTTGTCCACTGGCCCCGCTGGGTTCTGCACCTGCTGGGGCTCACCTTGGCCTAAAGGATGATTGTGCTGAAGCACTGATCCAGGTGAGCTGTGGAAAACAGAATTTACCATTTCTTTCTTCTTCTCGCCTTAGGCGTAATATTATTTCATGAAGGCTTTGAAAAGAGAGTGCTTTTTGAACTTGACTTACTGGTGAACCTGTCTGGCCCAGACTGCCCTGGCAGCGCTCAGTATCCGCTCTTCCCTTCCTCCTGTAACGCTGTTTGGATTCTGTTTTTGGAATATGAGTTGCCCAAATGTGTTGTAGTGTGTGTTGGACGACTGTAAGCTCAAAAGGGAGGCGTCAGCTTTTTGTTAATACACCGCTGTCCTCTGGGCGCAAACTTTGTTTCACGTTACACAACAGTGGGAGGTCAGGACTCCCTGGGACATTGTTTAAGGTCTTTGTTTTGGGGGTTTGTATTTTTCAGAGAACGGTACCTCTTTGTGATTTTCTAGCCTGTCGGGACTTGGAAAGGCCCAGACATTTGGGGTGGGGACCTGCTGCTCTCAGTTTCTGGGAGAGCATGGTGTTCCTTGCACTTTGTTGAACGTAGTTCTGTATGGATCCGTCCGCTGGCCCCCAGCCTCCTCTCAGCCTCCTAGGTGACAAGAGGCGGTGATGTCTGTCTTTAGAGATGGCAACTGTGGGCAGGAGTTAGCTCTTAGGCTGCAAATATGCTGAGTGAGCCTCCTTTCTTTCCCCTTCTGGGAGGAGATGCTGCTTTGAGAAGGTTGAAGTGTATATGAGGGGTGGGGAGGCAGGATATAGTGTGGGTGGGGGTGGGGAAGAAAGGAGGAACAACTGTAAAAAATGTTAATTTATTAATCACTGAATATATAGCAGTTCATCTGAAATGCTGTTGCTATGCCAACACCCTGGGAGTTTATTTTCTTAATCCAAGAGAGGAGCTCTCAGTCCCCTGCTCCCCTGCTGTGTCATTTGAATTTGCTGCTGCCACCGTGGTATCTGTTTTAAAAAGTAGGGGGAGGGGGAGAGGAGGGGGGGTGTCGTTGCAGGAGGGGAAGGAGGGAGGGGAGCTGGGCGAAACCACCAAAGCAGTCATATGCAAAGCAGGGAGAGGCCTTTCTCAGTACGACTTAGTAAAAATGACACAAATTAATATACTCTGCTTAAACCAGACCAAGATTAATGGTTCTCTTTCAGTGCAGCTTAGCCCAACTGTCACTCGACAGGCGTTTGTCGGACAAAATCAACACTAATCAACATTTATTCGTCTCTTGCCCTTGGGTCTGGAGAGCGCGAGCGGGCTGCGCCATTCTCCCGCGCGGCTCGCCACGCTTTTCGCCCTCCATCCAACTTCGCCATACATCACCCTTCCTCCGGGTGCCTCTCCTCGGACGGATCCACACACTCAGCTATCAGGGTACATTAGAGGCATGATAGATTTTCTGTTTTAATTTACATCTATTATATTACAACATAACAGATTTTGATTCAGTAGAGACCAGCATCTCCTATAGGCAGACTCCTTGGAAGGATTTTTGCATTAACTTATTAAGGTTGGTTAGGACGTCGCTTCGAATAGGCTCCCCCCTCCTCTCTCTCCCCCTCTCCCCCCTCCCTCTCTCTCCCTCCCCCCCCCCAGCTCGCTCAGTAAAGATGTCTGGGTGCACCTTAGTCACAAGCACAGCTTATTCTTTCTAGACTTGGCTTCCTGTACTGGGTCACATGAGGCTGGCTGGGTTCCTCCCTTACTTGCTGATTGGACTTTGATCAGCCAACAGTGGGAGCGGCGAGCTCCCTTCCCCGCCTGGGTTAATGGGCTTCGACAAATCTGGTGGCCTAGAGTCACTGGGCACCCCCTCCCTGTGGCTTCAGTCCTCGCCCCCAACATCTTTTTTCTTTTTCTTTTTTTTTTCTTTTCCCTTTTGATCTCAGTTACAGTTAGATCTTTTTACTGAAAGGTCTGCAGAGACAGGGGGCAAAAAAAGAGGGAGAAAACAGAATTGGCTGGGCTAACGAAGGAGAAGGCAGTTGGCAGGATGACTGAGGGAGTGAGTCGGAAAGACTGGTTCCCTGTCTCCCTGACCATCTTGAAAGCATCTTATTTCAGCTCGGAACACCGTGGACACGGCCAGCCTGTTCCTAGCGGGCGTGTGGGACATGTGTATTTATAGTTCCCCCGTAGAGTGCCTCTCGTCCTCATTTATGAAATTGGCTTTTTATTTTTATCCTCTTCTCCCCTTCCTTCCGCGGGTGCTGTAGCGTGGAGTCCATCTTTTGTTTGGTGACGTACTGGTTCCCCTTGATTTGGGGGAAGATTGGAGTGTCGTCTGACTGTGGACTGAGGTCACAGTCAGCTTTGGCTAGCTAATCACCTGTTTGCTGGCTGCCGAGAAGGGGCCAGAAATCCTCCCATCTGCTCAGATCCTTTTACCCTGTGTTACTTTATACGCGGACACCCCAGCTTTGTCAAATGTCCAGAGAGACTGTCTTTTTTCTCAAATTGGCTGTAGCACTATCCCTGGCCACTTAGAAGGCCTGAGTTGTGTTTTTCTTTTTTCCCTGCCAAGCTGTCGATTCTGAACTGTGGTGAGGTTCCTTTTGTGGCCAAATGCAGGGGAACCATGGGCCGAGCTGGGGATGTGTGGTTCGTGTGTGTTTGCACGCCGCCGCCGTCGTGGAAGATGTGTCAGGAGGAGAGCTTAGGGCTTCCATTTTGGTTTCTTATTACGCAGCAATAAAGTAAATGACGCTTCATATAACTTTGCACTTAAGAGAACTGTAGCTCAGTTTAAGAAACCAGACTCCACCAACAGGAGTGCTCAGTACCTTGAACTTGGGAAGCGGACCTCGTTAATTTTAATGAGGGGAAAAATTCTCCAGCTGGGGCTGAGAAGAAGATGAAATAGCAATGAGGTTATCGCTTTGCATGATCTCACGGAACTCGGAGTAGAATCAGAATGATGCTCGGAGAATTTTCTGGAGTCCTGCGTAGACATTTAGAAGAGAATATGAGTCCCTGGTGGGCAGAGCAGAACTTTATGTGGTCCCTCTTAAAGGGGCTGTTAGCAAAGTGAACCCATTAAAAAGTTGGGCTGAAGTAAAACTGAAAGAAGAAATAAATGAACATGATTCTTATGTGGGTGTAGCTGGAAAGCAATGCAGCTGGTATTATAGTGGCCGAGACAGCTGACTAGAAGCCAAGGGCTTCTGAGTTCACGTGCACGCCAGGACACTGACTTCCAGTGGGATTTGGGGCATCTGTTTCTTTATCACCCAAGGGCGGGAGGTGGGCTGAGGGCATCCTGTTATACAGTAGGCAGCTATTCGATTTGAACAGTAAGTTGATGACTTTGGCCCTGCTGTTGAGGAGCTGACAGATTGTGACCAGTGAGGTCAGGTTGTCTGTAGGACAATTTTGCCCACAGTCAGGAGAGGCTTGCCAGGATCCCCTGGCATTGGTCGGGGACCACAGAAAGAAGCATCACCATTTAAAGTATTTGGCCCTCGTTACTTCATCCTGTCCACTTCACAGCTGATCCCAGGAAAAGGTCTTTATTTTACCACTGAAATCTTTGGAGCTTCAGGGCAGACAAGACAGGCTTGTTTTCTCCAAAAGCTCGAGGCTGCTGACTCAGGCTCTTTTCCCATCCTCTGTCATGTCACTGTGCTCGGTAGAAGATTTGTGCCACCATCAGGTACCAATTCAAGTGTCACCAAAGGGACACTGTTGGATTAAACGGGGCCATCTTGCTCTAGGGACGACCTGGATATCAGTGGAATGTTGAGCGGGACCCATTCCTACGTCTCAGGTTCCTTGAATTTCAGCCTTTTTCTCTGAAAGCTGTGAGGCAGCAGTTCGGGGCACTTGGGCTGCTGCTATGGCTCTGTGTGTATGTGATGGCAAATGCTGGTTGCCAAGCAGCAGGGAATGGACATAATCATGTTGCCTAGCAACAGCGGCAGCGTGGTCACTTGCGCAGACTTCTGCGCCTCTTCCTGTTTGGTCTGCTGGAAAACACAGATGGCTTCTGCGGGTTGCTCTCTGCCCGAGCCACCGGG